CCTCACTCCACCCTCACCTCACCTCACTCCACCCTCACCTCACTCCACCCGCACCTCACTCCACCCTCACCTCACCTCACTCCTCCCTCACCTCACTCCACCCTCACCTCACTCCACCCTCACTCTCACTCTCACTCTCACTCTCACTCACACTCACACTCACACTCACACACTCCGTCACCACGATCCCCACCTTCATCACCACCATCACCTCTCTGGACCCACCCCAATGCGTCTAGATCTCTAGACTTTCTGCCTTTGGACCTCACACTCACTGTTTGGGGTCTCTTGCCAGGATAATATATTTTTGGGGAGACCACCGACATGCAACCGACTTGGTGGGTCAAACCCACCAGACCGACCGGGCGGGACCTACCTGGTCTTTTTCCTCGGAGCGAACCATGATGTCTTGGTGTTGGGGCTTCAGGTTGAACGGCCCATCCCCATTTGTTTGATTGGCCGAAGGTTTTGAGTGTGAAGTTAGTTTTTGCTGGTGACAAGGGATCTGAGGGCCTTGGCAGATGTGCCCTGTTTGAAAGAAACAAGGTACGTGAGAGAGTGATACTATCCCACACAAATCACTTCGATAATTTTTTTAATGATTTTTTTGGGCCAGGATTCCAGGATATTCTGAGTGGTGTCAGCTCAAGTTCCGACCCCAAACCCAAGAACTGACGATCCTTAATCAAATATCTTCATCTCCCAAGATTCAAAGGCGATTTTGACCCATACAGTTTCAAAAAGCTTCGCCCAGCTTGAAAGCTAGCTGATGACCGTGCAGTGGTGGATGCAGCTGCATCATGACAGAATGACAGAATCTAAGTTCGGATGCAGCTTTCGTGGAGAATAAGGGAATGATTTGATTGAGATGATGAATGGTCGACTGGTGCTTTCCACCAGCTGCCCTGAAAGGAGAGAGATCCGTGCACCGAATCTGGAAACCATATCCCCAAACACAAGTTGGAGCACTCAAATACCTACAAAAACAACCTATATATGTTTTTTGGACAAACTTACTCTATTCTAGGTTCTAACCGAGATCAATGAGTCTTTGTTTCCGATCCTTTGATTTTTCTCCAACCTTTGCTCACTTGCACAAGCTTGGCCGGAAGCCTCTTCCACAACAGCCCAGGATGGCTGCACAGCCCGGGGCAGGTCCTGCGCTTGGCAGCAAAGAACGAGGGTGCTGATATGGTCGTCCTTTGCGCATTACTACAAAGGCGGCTCATTGGAAGGATGGTACCTTAGGAAAGGGTTCGATGGCGCTGGTTTTAAGTATCTCTCCCTTTGGTACAAGCTTATACCCTTTGCTGCTTTGGTTCCTGGGGGATTCATTGACTACTTCAACGCAAAAGGTCAACCCCCTTGTAGAAGATCTAAAAGGACAGGCATGTTAAGGATGGGAGTGGTGCCACTTCGAGCGAAGCTCCGCGGCCCTTCAGGTTCGACCCGACTCAGGACGACCCTTACGGGCTTAACCGGAAGGGTGTTGGAAAACACAGCACATCACCCTTGCTACCGACCATCTCAAATGGGTGTGGTCGAAACAAATTATAGTTACTCATTCAGTATAAGGGAAAGAACAACTAGTCCTATATAAAATGGATCTCACACATGAAACCCTTGGCTCAGCCAGATACTACTTGGTAGCTAGAGACATCTGCCTTTTTCGATAGATTGCAGACTGATCCGCCCTGGACATTAACTTGGGTGCCCAGTGGAAATTCCTGAGGCGAAGATGGTGACCAGTGGAACTTTCCCCCCTTTTCCATACATACACGCTGTGTAGGTAGAATGTGGGAGAACATCAAACTAAACCTGTGCAATTGCAGGCATTGGACATAATATGCTCGTGTTTGCACTTGTGGCTGGCTCAAGTAACATGTTCCCGAACAACAGCTCGTGTTGATGCAGCTAGGTCCAAAGCTTTGCTCAAGGACCCAAGGATGTCCACAAACGACATTTGTGTGGTGATGTGCTTAGTTCTGTTATACGTTTACGCTCGACCAATACATAGGGATACAAACATTGCCTTTGTCATCACCACAGCTCATTTCAGACGGGTCTCGGGACCTTCCAAGTTGGTTCTATTCTTGGCACCAAACTATTGGTGGACCTTTGGCAGCTGGGGCAACACTTCTTGTCCTGACGGGACACCGATTCCACATCGAGCCACCATAGCGCTGTGTCCGAGGACAGGCGGCAGGTACTACGGTTTAAGCCTTAACATCCTTTGGATTTAAACATGCGTTGGTGGGCGTCGAACGAATCTGATTCGTTCATATTTGGGTGGTCGTCTCCCAACCCTCCCACACCGTAGCGGGCGGAACCAGCGGGGCCGAACCAGGCTCGTCTACCTGGCGAAGCAGGACGGAGGGTCCAAAGAGACCGAGCTCAGCCAAGATGGCCGATTTCAAGTGCTGCACTCCGGCGAAGAGGGGACGAGGACGACGTGGGACGGGACGACGGGACGGGACGTGATGCAAGTGATTGCAGAAGAGATTCCCTGGGCGTTCCAGACACATGCCAGATGCCAGTGTATATACTGTATATGAATTGGTTGGATGGAAATGCACATGTGGAAGAATCCACCTCGCAAATCAGGCCATCCCGAATCAGAAAGGCTCCGGGCGGCTCCATTCTGCTCGCTCAGCATCGTCGCATCGTCGCATCGTCGCGAAGCGTCTGGGTTGAACATGTTGATTCATCTGCTTGTTGACTAAACCCCTTGATTCATCAGAATGGGTTGACTAAACTAGGCCCACTGAGCTTCATGTCGGCTTTGTGAAGCCCTTCATGGACTAGTGTTTTTCACCTCTGGATTTGTGTGAATCGGCTTCATGTGTGATTCATCAGAATTTCGCACATGAAGAGGGTTTACACTAGCCCAATGGGGGCTGTACTGTGCGTTCAGTACCAATTAATCCAGACTCTACAGTACTAAACTAAACAGAGTCTATGCTAGTAGTAAGTGAACATCGCCATTGTGGATGAATGTTTGTTTCACGAGATAGGGATGTCACCCAAGGCCAATTGGACCTTCAATGAAGCAAAGCACCAATATCAGAACATCCAATCGGTGACAATGATCAACCAACATAGAGGTAGGATACCGCCAGTGTTCTTAACATATTTTGTATCTACCCGACATCTACTGCAAGTCCTCCACCGGAACTACTAGTCTCATCCCTGATGCGTTTCTACTAGCCAAGCCAAACCTCAGGTGCACAGCATGCGATAGATGTTAACAGCTCTTTTGTCTCAGCGTGGGAATCAGGGGTCGCCTTGGGAGTTAGAGTTCAGGGTCGCCTTGGGAATGACACTCCTTACCCACCCTGCCGAAACTTCAACACTTTCCAAAAGAGCCACCAACAAGAGCCCCATGCTACAGGTCAGAACTCCAAGTAGCTCGCTTTCTTCTCCCAGTCTTTCCAGCCATAACCCTTCAAGCTTAGCCCACTCACTGCAGCCCGGCCCCCTTCCACCCAGCCCACGCCCACCCCGAGGCTAAAGACACTGAGCAGCCGCGTGGAGAGCTGCGACGGCGGCACCCTGGCGCGCTTGGCCGACGCCGCAGCGCGGCTGCCGCGCAGCGCGGAGGTGGAGGAGCTGATGCAACGCCTGGTGGAGGCGGTTTCGGGCGGCCTCCGCCGTCGAGGACGGAAGCGGAAGCCGCCGCCTTTTTTTGGGCCAAAGAAATGCAGCAGGTGGTTGAGGATGGGTGGAGATTGGTCAAGGAATCCGTGAGGATTGGTCAAGGGTTGGAATCCATTCTGACGGGTTTAAAGAGTTGGACTAAGAGGAATTCGCTCATTTCGTGCTGCTTGTGGTGAGTTGAGAAACTACATCCACCTTGCATTGTTTGTTTGGTCTAAATGGACAAATTCAAACCTTTGCGGGATCTGACCGGCCACATCTCTTTCGTGCACGGAATCTCGGGACAAAGACCCGCTTCTGCGCCTGAGAAAACTGCCTCTGCCAACACTTGTTTTTTGGGGTGGGTAAAGACTTGTATAATTACACACCATTACTGTATATAAACCTTAGCCTTCAAGGACCATTAAAGGAATGGTTGACTTGATGCTGTTGTCTAAGATCCTAAGTCAATTATGTAAAATTCATGGTTCCTTTGCTAAAGCTCATTACATCAAGGGTGGTTCAAATTGTAGGGTATATATCTATAGTCTTCATCATTCTTCATCCGTGTCCCCGAATGTGTCGACTGCACTCGTGACCTCGTGTCGGTGGCCTCCCGTCTGTCGACTGACTCGACGTCTCTGTCCAGTCTGCAGTGGGGCGCCACAATGCCATCAAGCCGCAGGCGTGTGGACGGGTGAACACGAGCCTGTCGGCGCCTGGAAGCGCCTGTGGATGATGATGGCATCCTTTTTGGCTGGGGAAGTCTTCAAAAAGAGTAGTTATATAAGCTGTAAACCATTGGTCTTCCACAAAGGTAAAGGGTCCTGTGTCAGAAGGCAACGAACTCAAGGCATCTCTGAAAATAAAACACAGGAATCCAAAACCCAATCCCATCATTCATCCTCAACCAACCCATTTTCCAACCAACGCCCTCTCCAGGACCTTTCCTTCCTCGCCGTCGCGTTGGCCACCGCGCGCGTGCGGGGCGTTCCTGCGGGACACGCCGCGGGACACGCCGCGCCCTTGGGCAAAGCCGTACACTTCGTGCGGGGCGAGGCCTTGCGGCAAATGCAGGCCGAGCCAACGACCAACGGCCGGAGACGACCGGCCGGTGTGTTAAAACAGGGGGAAGTTCGATGCCATTTGATGGGAGGTCTCACCCACCATGGCCTCTGGCGATTGGTGATTTGGGTTGGGTTTGGTGGGCATATTCTGGAGCATAGAACAGGGATGGTTTCTGCGGGATTGTATGGGCTACATTGGCTACATCCTGGAAGCAAGAGAGGAGATGCGTGGAAGGCTCTTGGTTTGGAGAATTTTTTCTTGAGGTTTGGAAGTTTTAAGATAATGATTCCAGCATCCGACCTGAAAACAAAGATGCATGGATGGCCTGACACAGGGATACAGGGCTGATTGCGAACTTGAGTTTCCTCTTCCAGACATGTTCTCAGTGTCTATGTTTGTTTTGACATCCTGAAGAAACCTAAGAAAAGAGGCACCTCTGGGCAATGCTGCTTTCGAAATCTTCTCTGCACTGTCTCCAGTCCAGTTCAGTCAGACGCATGGTTTCACGCAAAACGAGGAGTTCAAGTGGAACAGCTGCATCCGATTGCTGGAAGCCTTCCGTCGCTGGGGCATTGTAGATCCAAACCTTACAGAGATGGTGCTGGCACGGCTGCAGGACGTGGTTTTTTTCTGGCTGGGGCGCGGGGAGGGCTTTTTCAAGAGAACGACACGGCCAAATGAGATGGATAGGATCCCTATCCGTATCCCTTAATTGAGTTCAGTGAGCGATCCAGGAACGAAGAAGCGAAGCCACCATCACAGGCATCAGGTGAACTGGGTTTGAAGATGGGTGAAGATGGCTTCATGGAGAAGAGTGTTAATCCATGTTGATCTATGTTAATTATGTTAATCAAGGTCCATGAAGAATGTGATTCAACTACACACTTAGCTGCACTGAAGTGTGAATTTCGGGCCTTCACTTTGGCACCCTCCATCCTATCTTGGGCAGGAACCTCCATTTCTTGTGGGGCCAAATCCCGTTATTTTTGTCACACACACACACACAGGTTCCCTCCCCAGCCCAGTCCCGTTTCTTGCATCAAAACCACCCTGCCTGGTTCCCTCCCCTCCCCCACTCCGAGTTCGCGGCCAGGACATCCTTCCGGACGCCACCACGCGAGATCTGACGATGCTGCTGGAGTACCTCTGCGCCCGGGACGCGGTCAGACTGGGACCGTCCGGGGAGACCGGGGAGACCGGGACCCGTCGTGGTAGACTCCTCTGGCGCTTTTTGGAGCGGTGGAGGGGTGGAGGGGTGGCCATTGCCAAGTCTCAGAGGGTCCTCCAGGCCTGGTCATTTGGTGGAAGATGGGCCTGAAAAAGGCAGGTTTTTTTTGTTCTTGCATGGCCAGTGGTGCGGAGATGACTTCTGTTCATGACAAGGTTCCTGAACTTTCAGGAAGACTGCTTTGTTTGCACTCACACCGGGAATCTTCGGTTGTGTTTATGCAGCGCTTTACACAGCTTTGTTCTGGTGGAAGAGCAGGCTGGCATACCATCACTATGGGTAGACGACTCACTGTTCGCTAGATGTGCTAGAAGGTTAGCTTGTCTCCGTGGTTCTCTAATCTCTTGCCCTTGTCAATCAACACTTCTTGTCTTCCTGCCTTAGTGGTAGACTTGATTGGCCGAAAGGGGCCTCTTACATGGGGGTTTCAGGGAGTGACCCTCTTGACTTATTGCAACATTGAAACTCTCTTTTGAGCTGACCAGACTCATGTGCGTGCTGCGATCCAGATCCTGGGCTCCCAGCACCCTGCAGCCGGTTTTCTGCTGCCTGGATCGCCCAATCCAATGGCCGGATCTACTTGGACCCTTCAGGTTGTACCGACATGACCATGGGACATGACCCTGTAATACAAAGACAGGGGCCACGACTGACCCGAAGGTACTTTCACAGGTACTTGTCCATTTTACTTAAGACCCATCCCTTTGGTATCTCTCAATGGATTGGGACTCATGATCCTTGGGTCCGTGGAGGGAGGGAGGATGACACCCCTCTGTTTCCAGGGCCAATTTCATCATCTTTCCAGGGGCCGAGTCAAGGCTCCTCCACGAACGGGCAGGGCGGGCGCTTTTTTCTCCACTGGCTCCGCTTGCTCCGCTTGCGTTCGACCCCCTCCCCCTTCCAGGCCAGATGGGCTTGGCTTGCCTGGAGCTCTTACAACCACTCTGTCAGATGGCCTTCAGCCGCATGGCTCCGGGTATGTTCGGTGCCGATCGCTCGTTGGTGAAACCAGGCCTGGTTTCGTTGGGACGTTGTTGGGTTGGGTTCTTTGGTCGCTGCAACGGGGATGTGCCCATCTGGCACGCTTGCAGCACAGTTGGTGGGAGGTTTCTGTAATTTTTTCATTGCAGCCGCTGTGGGGGTCCCACTTTTCCACCCGCAGACGAAGACACATTACGAAGACACATTCAAGCACAGCCACCTCTCCTCCCGCAATGTGAAGACGATTTCCGCAGACGAATTCTCCGAAGACGAATTAGACCCTGAAGACACTTTCCGCAGACGAATTCTCCGAAGACGAATTAGCCCCCGAAGACGGATTAGACCCCGAAGACGCTTTCCGCAGACGAATTCTCCGAAGACGAA